TTGAAGACTTACTCCCCCTTCTATCATTGTTTCTACTATTTACCATCCCTCCGGCTCGCACCCGCCCACCCAATCTGTCAAAATTAGAAAATCCGTACCGCCCACCTGGAATCCTGAAACACCAGGTTGACGACCCATGGTCTAAACAGTTGAAAGATAGATGCAATTAAACTAAATGGCTACAAGATGGCACCCGGAAATACAAAATGTACTTATTGTGTAGTGTCCTGGGATGAAATAATTTTAAAACTATTTCAAGCCTACCAACTGTCCCCATTTCAGCGAGACAGTCTCAATGTTTGGTGACACCAAGAAACAGTTTCCAACAACCATACAGAGCTGCTAGATACAGCCCTGTGCCTGTGGGCCAGTGAGGGAGATCTTTAATCTCCCCACGGGCCCTGGAAGGCGCACAGCAGGGCCGGCGCTCGGATAGTGCCAACCCTGCAGGGGCTTGCAGGGGAGATCCTCTGATCTCCCCTACCAGCCCGGCCTATCTTGGCCCGCCAGGCATTTGCCCGGTATGCCCGGTGGCCAGTCTAGGCTTGGTCCTGAAGGTTTGGCACTGGTCCAGCTGCCTGTCAGATAGTGGGCCCGCCCTTTGTTGGCCCTAGAAGGTTTAGTCATAAGAAGTGAATCCAGTGATAGTAAGAACATCAGGCCAGGGCTGGTGTAATGACTTGTGGCTACACAGGGAAAGATGCATTTTTCCACACACGCCTATACCTCCTAAGTGACCCCATTTGGGATAGAGGGTCTTTATTTTGACCTGAAATAAATTTTCTCTGTTCTAACTGCCCTCTTTTCTAGGGGCTCCATATTGTTGGTGTGTCTGAGTGTATCACAGAGCTCCATAGCAATAATACTCACAGTAATGTGTGTTTAAACTACAATAATATTCTTAAAAATCACTCTGTGTAAATAAGATACATTGTTCTTCTAAATTACATTTTAGCAGCATAAAATGTTATAAGTCATCAAAATTTTCTCAGAACAGCCCCATCCTGTCCACACTCCTAAAATTAGTGTCCCACTTTGTCCATTTGAAATGTTTGGAGGTATGCACCCCCCTCCCCTCCCATTCGTCACATTTCTCACACCCTCCCCCCAAATATGCGGCTCCCACACAGTTATCATGAACGCTGTAACAAAACCTTGCAGAGAGGATAGCGGTCCAGCCTCTTACCCAGAGACAGGGCCAGTGGCCCCTAGTCTCTCAGTGTCCCCATGTCTCCCAGCCAGTGTCCCTAGTGTCTCAGTGTCCCCATGTCTCCCAGTGTCCCTGGTGTCTCCCAGTGTCCCTGGTGTCTCCCAGTGTCCCTGGTGTCACTAGTGTCTGTGTCTCTAGTCTCCCAGAGTCCCCTAGTCTCTCAGTGTTCCCATGTATCCCAGTGTCCCCATGTATGTCTCAGTGTCCCAATGTCTTTAAGTGTCCTAGTGACATTGGGGCACTGGGAGACATGGGGATACTGGGGGACACAGGGAAAGATGAAGACACTGGACGACTTTGACACCTGGGAGACACTCCCAGTGTCCCCATGTCTCCCAGTGAGTGTCCCTAGTATCTCAGTATTCCCATGTCTCCCAGTGTCCCTGGTGTCTCTCAATGTCCGTAGTGTGCCAGTGTCCCTAGTGTCTCAGTGTTTCCTAGTCTCCCAGTGTCTCAATGTCTCCCAGTGTCCCCATGTCTCCTAGTGTCTCAGTGTTCCCTAGTATAAAATAAAAAATCTCAGGCACTCACTGTGATAGATTTAAGCAGGTTTATTGGACACTGCAACGTCTTGACCTGTATCAAGTCTCCAGTGTCCCCTATGTATCACAGTGTCCCAGTGCCCCATCTCTCCCTGTGTCCCTGGTGTATCTCAGTGTTCTTAGTGTTTCAGTGTCCCCTAGTCTCACAGTGTCCCCATGTCTCACAGTGCCCCCAAGTGTCTCAGTGTCCCCTAGTATAAAATAAAAAAATCTCAGGCACTCACTGTGATAGATTTAAGCAGGTTTATTGAACACTGCAACATTCTGACCTGTACCCAGGTCTTTATCAAGTCTCCAGTGTCCCCTATATATCACAGTGTCCCCTATATATCACATTGTATCAGTGCACGATGTCTCCGTGTTCCCAGGTCTCCCAGTGTACCCTAGTATCTAAGTGTCCCCTGGTCTCCCAGTGTCTCTCAGTGTCCCCTAGTGTCCTAATGACATGGGGACACTGGGATACATGGGGACACAGACACTAAGGGACTGGGAGACATGGGGACACAGAAATGCCCCGTTTTTGTGTATGTTTGTCTTCTGGTTATGTGATTTGTCAGTGGCCCAGCCTTTTACCCCATCCATACATTCCTGAGTTATTGGACACTGCTGTTAGGGGGTATGGGTTTACTTGAAAGCATGAGATTAGCATAGGGTATGTGTTTTCTCATAGCTGCATCCTATGAGTTTCCCTCCAGCACCATCTCAGACACATGATGCTTAGGAGGTAGGACTGTTTTAGAGTTTTTGATCAATAACATTTTTAATTAGGCCCATCATAATTCTCAGCACCAGGCCCACTAGGCTCTTAATCTGGCCCTAAAAACAAAGGGGAAGAGTCTGCGCTTGGTAACAAAGATGTTAGCAGCAACCCTAAAAGGGAATCCCTCAAGACCCTTGATAAGAGAGCGCAGCCCTTAACTCCTCCTTTTTTTTCTTAATCTGGCCCTGCCTAGAAACTATGGGCCCTCGGTGACACTAACTGACCAAGTGGACATATAAGGGGTTAAAACCGTGGGAATGCTTTATTATAAAATCTGTTTGTGTTTCAGGTTGTGATTGTGGAGTTGTTTTGTTTGTTATTCGAATTTAATCAGTACAGCCTGCAGCTTTGATTAAGTTATTGCTGCTCAGACACTGACACCAGGGGTGAGTGTAATTTAACGTGTTATTGGTTGCTGTTCCAAGTCCTTTCACTATTATTGGATATTAGTTTTGCCCTCCCCTTGTGTTTTCCTATATAAACATTACCTTCATTACCGTATATACTCGAGTATAAGCCGACCCGAATATAAGCCGAGGCCCCTAATTTTACCCCCCAAAACTGGGAAAACGTATTGACTCGAGTATAAGACTAGGGTGGGAAATGCAGCAGCTACTGGTAAATTTCTAAATAAAATTAGATTCTAAAAAAATTATATTAATTGAATATTTATTTACAGTGTGTGTATATGATGAATGCAGTGTGTATGAGTGCGCAGTGTGTGTATGAGTGCGCAGTGTGTGTATAAATGCAGTGTGTGTATAACTGCAGTGTGTATATGAGTGCGCAGTGTGTGTATGAGTGCGCAGTGTGTGTATGAGTGCGCAGTGTGTGTATGAGTGCAGTGTGTGTGTATGAGAGCAGTGTGTGTGTATGAATGCAGTGTGTGTGTGTATGAGTGCAGTGTGTGTGTGTATAATTGCAGTGTATGTGTGTATGAATGCAGTGTATGTGTGTATGAGTGCAGTGTGTGTGTGTGATGCAGTGTGTGTGTAATGCAGTGTGTTTATGAGTGCAGTGTGTGTATGAGTGCAGTGTGTGTATGAGTGCAGTGTGTGTGTATGAATGCAGTGTGTATATGAGTGCGCAGTGTGTGTATGAGTGCGCAGTGTGTGTATGAGTGCGCAGTGTGTGTAAATGCAGTGTGTGTATGAATGCAGTGTGTGTGTGTATGAATGCAGTGTATGTGTGTATGAGTGCAGTGTGTATGAGTGCAGTGTGTGTGAATGCAGTGTATGTGTGTATGAGTGCAGTGTGTGTATGAGTGCAGTGTGTGTTTGTGTTGCAGAGCTTTGGTGGGGGGTGGGCATTTTTATAAAAAAAAATAATTTTTTTGGTTATATTATTTTTTTATTATTATTTATATATTATTAATTGATATTATTTAAAACATTTTTGTTATATTATTATTTTGTTTATTATTATTTTTATTTATATATTATTAATTAATTAATTTATTTATTGTCACCCCTCCCTGCTTGATACATGGCAGGGAGGGGGGCTCTCCTTCCCTGGTGGTCCAGTGGCATTGGCAGTTCAGTGGGTGGAGGAGGGGGGCTGGCAGAGCTGTTACTTACCTCTCCTGCAGCTCCTGTCAGCTCTCTCCTCCTCCGCGCCGGTCCGTGCAGCTCTTCTCTCAGCTCACACTAAGTCTTGCGAGAGCCGCACTATGACCCCGCGGCTCTCGCGAGACTTACACTGGGAGCTGACCGAGGTGCTGACCGGACCGGCGCGGAGGAGGAGAGAGCTGACAGGAGCTCCAGAAGAGGTAACAGCTCTGCCAGCCCCCAGTCTGTATTACGGCAATGTAAATTAATGTAAATTGCCATAATACAGACAGTGACTCGAGTATAAGCCGAGTTGGGGTTTTTCAGCACAAAAAATGTGCCGAAAAACTCGGCTTATACTCGAGTATATACGGTAAATATCCATTGCTCTTCCCTTCACTAAATCTTGTCAGGTGTTTGGGTAGCGATATAAAGAGCTATCCCACGCTCCCTCAAGTGGCCGGCTGAGGGTTGTAGAAGAAGAATAGAGCCCTTAAAGACAGGGAGAAGGGACGAACGTTGTAGCAGGTTCAGCTCGGGTCCTCAAGCCTTAAATCCTGTCAGCCCTATTCCTGTTATAAGCATGCTACCCATCACCCAGGATGTCTGTGTGAGAGTTGCACAAAGGTGACTCCCACACTCACAAAATCTGCAAAGAATCTGTAAGCGACACTCAGGGCCATTGCAGGGATTTATGCCACCCTAGGCAAAAAAAATTGCTGCCCCATTTGCTCCAGGCTTGGATCAATGTAGGGACAGGGACAGTATAGTATTTGGAATACAGGTTTATATTCCTAACACTGTAGTGTTCCTTTAAAAGTATTGATTTTTTTTTTAAATTAAATTTTTACTTTTTGTTCAAATGCTGTCCCTGAGACACACATACATACACTCATGCACAAACTCACTTACACTCAATGGTCCACACAATCACAGTCAGTGACCAATGCACACACACATTCACTGACTCATGCTGAGTGACAGACACACTGACTAAAGCAGACATGACATACACTGACTCATTTAGACTTACACACAAACTGGCCCAAGCAGACAAACACACACACAAACACTGGCCCAAGAAAACAAACACACACTGACTCAAGCAGACACACACACTAACCCAAGCACACACACACACACACACACACACTGTTCCAGTCCAGACACACATACTAACCCAAGCATACACACTGATCAAAACAGACACACACACTGACCCAAGCAGGCACACTGATCAAAACAGACACGCATACACTGACTCAAGCAGACACAAACATACTCACTAAAGCAGATTGACACACATTCTTTAAAACACACACACACTATTAAATCCCCCTCTTGCCTTCACTTCACATTGTCTCTCTGTGTGTCCCATGCTTCAGGACTGCACCTGGCTGCCTTGCTGCCTCCACTCTCAATCCCACCCCCACTATCTTCCCGCCTACTTGACCCTGAGAACAGGGCAAGGGGCGGGAGCGATGCGGCATATTAGAATGGGGGGCGGCTCTATAAACTTTGCTGTCTGAGGTTGATTGCACCAATTGCTAGTCTGCAGCTTGGTAAGTGCTCCCTAGCACCCAGTGCTATGACCTGTGGCATGAACTAAAGGCTTTTTCCCAAATAGAAGGGCGGTCCAAATCAGCAGTAAAGCTGCTGCACGTCCCCCCCTTAAAATGTTTTCTAGGCGGCTGCCTAATTGGCCTATAGGACGCGCCGGCACTAGGACCCTGATGAGAACGGCTCAGCAGCGCTCTTTGCAATGTCCAGTATGCTGAGGGCTGGCCCTATACATACACATTACATCCCTATCCCACACTACATAACCTTCTACACACACACACACACACTGCATCCCTATCCCACATCACATTATTGTTCCATACAAACACTACATAATGGCATGCCAGCTGCAGGGACACAGGACCTTTTTCAACTTTGTGTTAGAAATATGTTTGTAATCCTAATGCCAGAGTTGCTTCAAATAGGTTTGTTTTTCCCAAATCTAAACATTTGCTAGCAATCTAGCCCATATATATTTAGAATATTTTGCTCTTTAAAAAGTCCAGAAGTTGTGTGTACTATGGCAAGTACAATTAACACAATTTCTGAGAGTAATATGTATATTATTATTATTATTATTTATAGCGCCATCAGATTCTGTAGCACTGTACAATGAGTGGATTAATAGACATGTAATTGAAATCAGACAACTGGACGTACAGGAACAGAGAGGTGGAGGGCCCTGCTCAATGAGCTTACATTCTAGAGGGAGTCGGATTTAGTGACACAAAGGGTAAAAGTAGGGGTAGAAAGTAGGTTATTAGAAAAGTATTCACTGAGGGCTGAGTAGGTAATTTTTGACAGTTGCACGAGAGGAGTCATGGGGGCGTGGGGGATAAAACCTGCTAACAGTTTAATTGATATGCTTTCTTGAAGAAGTGAGTTTTCAATTATTTTTTTTGAATGAGTGGAGACTGGGTGAAATCTTACGGAGAAGAGAAGGGAAGGGAGTTCCACAGAAGAGGTGCAGCCCTGGAAAAGTTTTGGTGCGAGCGTTAGAGGTGCGAGTATGGTCAGAAGATATACGTAGGTCTTTGGCAGAGCGGAGGGGCCTTGACGGGATATACTTGAGTATTAGGGAGGATAGGTAGAGTGGAGCAGCATTATGTAGGGACTTGTAAGCAAGAACCAGAATTTTAAATTGAGCTCTATATCTAACTGGAAGCCAATGCAGGAACTGACAGAGCGGGGAGGCGTGGGAGGTGTGAGCGGACAGGAAAATGAGCCTTGCCACTGCATTCATTATAGATTGCAACGGTGCAATCTGGGAACACGTAAGACCACTGAGAAGAGTATTGCAGTAGTCCAGGCGAGAGAAAACAAGAGCATGGACCAGCACCTTGGCCGCATCCGGGGTTAAATAGGGGCGGATGCGGGTTATGTTTTTGAGATGGAAGCGACGCGATTTGGCGATTGATTGGACATGAGGGGTGAAGGAGAGGTTGGAGTCAAAAAGAACACCCAGGCAGCGAGCCTGCAAGGTAGAAGTGATGGTAGCGTCGTTGACTTGGAGGGAGACAGACACGGGAGTAGCAACACTTGAGGGAGATAAGACCAGAAGTTCTGTTTTGGACAGGTTGAGTTTAACCCCTTAAGGACCAAACTTCTGGAATAAAAGGGAATCATGACATGTCACACATGTCATGTGTCCTTAAGGGTTAAGGAAGTGAGCAGCCATCCATTTGGAAATCGAAGAGAGGCAAGATGGGCAGAGAGAGTTCAGGAGAGGACAGGTAGATTTGCGTGTCATCCGCATAGAAATGATAACGGAAGCCAAAGGAGCTGATGAGTTTACCAAGGGAGGCAGTGTAAATAGAGAACAGTAGGGGACCAAGGACAGTATTATTATGCCTATAGTATTTACACATGTATTAATATATTCTCAGAAATCACATTCATACATAGCATCTATGTAATAGAGGTGCAGCACTTTTTACAGGATGGAATGTTTTGGATGAGGGTGTGTGGCCATGGATGGAAGCTGAGAAGATTTTTCACACAGGGCACCTAAAGGTCTAAGACCGGCCCTGATTATGAGAGACTTTAATTACGTAAGTATTATGTCATACTCTGCTTTAGGCATTTTTAGAAAGTGTAAATGTAATAAATAGGATTCGGGCCTCAGTGGGAGTTTGATCTTACTGATTACTTGGATTTTGTCCTTTATCTGTCCCCAAAACCTCAGAATCTGTTCACAATTGCACCATATTTGTAGTATATCACCTTTCTGCATTTCACATCTCCAACACCTATCAGTATGGCCAAACCACATTCTGTTGAGGCAACTCGGAACAAGGTGAATACGGTTAATGAGCTTAAATTGCATCTCTGTTAAATTCAGACATCTTACTGATTTACAGACTTTTTGAAAAGTTCTTATTTTTTTTTGAGTGATTTTAACTTGTTTCCCTTTCCCATTTCTCTGCAGCCCTAGTTGAACTTATTTCCCCCCTCCTCCCCCAGTCTTAGCAATTCTTTACATAGAGCTAGCATACCTTTTGATTCGATCTTTCATTGGACTATTTATATCTTTCTGATTATTTCTTTAGGTTCTAGACATAAATGTTTCCTAATGTATCTTTTTATCCGTAAGTAATTAAACATTTCTCCTTTGAGTTATTGTGCTTTTTCAGAAATTGCTATCAAAGTTTTCATATGTTTATCCACTAATAAATCATTTATTGTCCTTAAGCCACTAATATAAAATGTACTCAATTAATGTCTTTTATATTATACGCTAAATTTTCCAGAGGAGTGTTTACTAGGACTTTGTTATTTAACGTTATTTTCTTCCAAAATTTCTGCCAATTAGTTAAAATGTGCCTCATAATTAAACACCTTCCAACTGTTGGCATTTTGAGGTTCTGTTGTCCAGAATTCATACCCTAATTCTTTCTGTTGTGTTAGATCTTTTTCTACCTTATACCAGTTTTTTTCTCTTGATTATTCCTTTTGTGTCGTAAATGCATGCACCAACATGCTTGCATTATGGTATTCATATATATCTAGCATAGAAAGACCCCCGTGAGCAGGTTTCAATTTAAGACAATCTAGTTTGTCTTTTTTTTTTTTTTACTACACCAGACTAAGTTCCTAAATGCCGCCTGAATCATAGATAGCCAGCTGCTAGGGACTGAAAGAGGTACTGTATGGAGAACATATAACCACCAGGAGAGGACATATGATCTTAAAATAGAATGAGAATTCCATCTTTCCCCAATCTTTCAACTGTTTAGACGTTTGTTTAAGAAGAGGTAAGAAATTTACTTCTATTATTTTGTTTGGGTCAGAGCATATTGTTATACCCAAATATTTCATACTTGATGACCAAACAAATCTGTATTTAGTTTTCAATAGCTCTTTCGTTCTAGTGACATTATATATAGAATCAGGGAGAGCAGACAACCCTGCCTGGTTACATTTGCCAGATCGAACCAGTCAGAGCTGAAGCCTCCCCCAAGTACCCCAGCAGTTGGAATACATGGCCATAATGGCCTCCAACATCCACCCATTGAAACCAGATTTCCTTAAGACTTATATGCAAAAAAATTGGGGATGGTCTGCTAAGCCAATAACAAACAGAAAAACATAGCGTATAACTGTGTATATGAATAAACCACAAGTGTTGTTTTCACAAATGGCCACTCACATATTCAATGAAGTTAAAGTGCCTTTAGTATAAATTCCCTCCAAGGATTCAATCTTCATTCTGTATTCAAATCACCATGGGTTGGCTGGAGTGTATGTACTCAAGAGAAAAAAATAAAATTGTGGTGCACAACCAAGTGTATAATATAAAATCTATTTAATCACTTACATCAAAGTTAAAAGCAACGGGTGTCGTATCTCTGAGTCACCACCAAGGGTCCTACGCATTTTGTCCATGTATAGGACTTCCTCAGGGACTTAAAAATAAATTTATTTGGATTTGTTACTGCACACTACCAAACTCCCTGAGGAAGTCCTATACACTGACGAAACGCGTAGGACCCCTGGTGGTGATTCAGAGATATTACACCCATTGCTTTTAACTTTCTATTTTCCTTTTCCTATACTTAATTATCTAAAATTGATTTTTTTTGTTTATTATATCCCTAATTCTAAATATCACTTCACCTTTCTATTGGGGAATTACCTATTAAATTTCCTATCATTCATATTAAATTACATACCTTTATGGTTAAAATTCAATCCTATTTTAGATTATCTGCTAAATTTCTTTTATTCTTTTCTCCCCCTTTTCCTCCCTTCTACAATCTATATCAGAAATCTCATAAAAGTCACACAAATCTAATCACAAAATAGCAGATACAAAAAACAAAAATCAGTATGTCAATACTTCAGATTCTTCTTTACTCTAATTGTTCCAATCACTAATTTCTTACATTTCCCTCTGTTCAACATGCCAATCCTATTAAAGTGACTTTCCCTTTTTAATTATCATTTTTGTGTTAAAATTTAATGATTTCAGTATATTAAATTTGAGTAAACATTAAAGTATCATATACCTTAAGTATGTGTTGTACTCTGTTTCAAGACAGAAAAAACATTTGCCGTCTTTTTGTGTGACATATCCTTGATATT